GCCCCCTAAAAATGCATTTGATCAAACGAACGAGGTACCACTTGAAACCAGTGTTAACTAAATGCATGAATGCCACAGAGCACTGAATGGCCCATGCCAGACAAAATTTCTGCTGCTAAGGGCCCGCCAGACGCCCCTAAATGTGGCCAAAGCCCATATACATACCTGCCAACCACCCCGATTTAGGCGGAGTTTTATTGAGGCTCTGTGTCAGTCAGACATCTTTGTAGGCATCTCATGTACAAGTACTCATTGTTTCATAACATGACCTGGCATGAGTCATGGGTTGCAGGTCATTCTATATTTAGTTATACATGCTAGTCTGTATATGCAGACTCTGTTTAACTACATGTAGCTATCACTACAGGAAGCTTGTTATTTACCGGACTTCCTCAGATTTATTTTGGATTACTACTACTATATACCTTTGCAAAATAGGGCTCCTAACTGAGGTGGGTAGTGAAACATGTAGTTTTGTGAGTGCTCACATTTCAAAAATTGTTTATGTGTGGGGCGAAAAGGTTGAAGGAAAAGGCCCATTTGCACCATTAAAATGGAGAGAAAAAAAAATAGACCCTAAAGTCCTGTGTACCCCCCCCCCAATCTACGGGCTACTACCCCAATCCTTCGGTGGTTCGCGACCTTGTAGTCCATCCAGAAAAATTTACTCCTAATTTCTCTTGTCTCAGGTTGGCAGGTATGCATATATATAGCATTGACCCAGATTAAATATATGCAAGGTACCACTCAAAATCAGTTTTGAATGGTCGGGTTTATCTTACAGACTACGGAAATCATCATGCCAGATAACTTTCTTCCTGCAAATGGGCCCACAGACACACTGAAAAAGTGGGCCCCAAATGGGCCATGATCATATGAAGGAGAAACCATTTGAATCTAATTGTAACTCAATAGTTGAATGCCACAATGCACTGAATGGCCCATGCAAGACACATTTTCTGGTTCTTAGGGCCTGCCAGACACCCCCAAAATGTGGCCAAAGGCCCATTATTGTATCATTGACCAACGTTTAATATAAAGGCCTACCTTAGGTACGACTCAAACTGATTTGGAATGGTCGGGTTCATTCTTACAGACTAAGGAAATTACCATGACATACTTATTTTCTGCTGCAAAAGTGTCGAATGACACCCTAAAAAAGAGGAGCCCCAATGGCCCATGAACAAACATAAGAGAAACTACACAAAACCAATATGAATTAAAAGAGCATATTCCACAGAATAAATAACTGCCGATACGAGAGAAATTTTAATCTACATAGGGCCCACCAGATAGAAAACAGGGTGGCTCAATGTGGAACCTGGGCCTAAGGAATTGAACATTAATGTAGATTAAATTTGCCTTGTAACATGACATTTCAAGCAGATTACATTATTGCAATCCTAAATTTGATTACAGAATTAAAATGTGGTGTATACTACTTAATAAATATTCTACCTAAGACATATGTTACCCGATTTTACTCCAATTAACAGCTAACAGTAACATATAGCATATGATACCACACGTTACAGAGGATCTATTGCACTCCCTCCTCAGGTCACATTATTATCTCTTTGTATCTCTATATGTCAGTCCTTCACTTCTTTTCCCTCTTATCTGCACTCAAACAGAACTTGGACTTAACAAGAATACATGTAGTCCTTTGTTATGCGATATGAAATGTGTTTAAAATATGTAGATATTGAATTCTTTTTACATTCATTGTCAACCTAAAATAAGGGCCCTTATGCTCTTTTGGGTGCTGCCTGCTACTGTAGCAAACATTTACTTACCTGTTTATAATATTTGACTATTTGATATGATGTATCTTATCTTTTTAAGATTTTCCTGTAATTTCTTATGCTTCCACTGAAATTGGTTAAATGAATGAATATTAATGCCCTACACTGGACCAGCTATTGTTTTTGTTTCTTTAACTATATTTCCTGCTCCAAGCAAACTTTCCAGTATGGAAGAAAAAAAATTAAAGCACACTTGGATCACATTAGCCTCTATATCTGGTTTGCCATCTAATGTTGTTGTTGTTGTTTGTTGTATTTTTGGCATTCAGTCAAATTTGAATATTTACCCCTAGTCTAGTTCTTTAGTCGTGTTGAGGTAGTAGAGTCCTATTAATTCCCAGCTTGGAAACTCTGTGCGCCTGTGCTTTGTTGGTCAACTGCTGGGGGATGCATCATCCCGGCCAACCCTGCTACATGTACGTCCAATCCAATGGGCTGACCAACATATTAACAGTATATCCCATTGATTTTTGTTTCAGCTAGTTCAGTTAGAATGTAGGCCTAGTTGGTTATACTCACACTATGGAGAAGCGTTGTATAACTCTCATGAAATATGAAGCGATGTAACACATTTCCGATATTTGACTCAAAATGGAGAAATATGACATTCCAACTGAGATTCACTAGTGCACCATCCGGAAGCATTTTATAAGGTACAGTAGACATACATGAAAATAATGTTTGCAATGTTTGCTAAATTATGGCATTTACTCACTTTCCTATTCAACGTTCAACATAATTGAATGATTCTTCCAGTCTTGCTATAAACCAAATACTAATCAAGCAGGCTCTTGATAATTGAGGTTTACAGGCTCGATTTGTCGAATTGTGTTTATGTCATTCCACCAAATTATTAGCATCTACAAGAGTCCAAGGGCATATGCCTCAATTACAGAGAAGAAATGCTGTCATTAGTTACAATACTGTTTTATGGTTGAACTTTGTATTTGATTGGAAGAAAGTATTCTTCATTCATTGTAAAATGCAACCTGATATAAATGACAGTGTTTCTTTTTCTTAGCCCTATGGCATGAAATGTTGTTCCATACAAGTAATTTTGCTTAGAGCAGCTAATAGCTAAAGAAACTCGAACAATTGCTTGTCCCGTGTAGGGCATAAACGGTCATTCATTCATTTCATTTCAATGGAAGCATCAAATATTACAGGAATTTTTTTTAAAGGATGAGACACATCACATCAAATAGTTGAATACTATAAACAGCTAAGTACATGTATTATGAAGTATGCAGCAGCCAAAATAGAATAAGGGCCCTTATTTGAGGTTGACAATGAATGTAAAAAGTATTCAATATCTACATATTTAAAACACAATTTATATAACATAACACAAGACTATACTTGATAATTCGAATTTCTATTTGAGTGGAGATAAGAGGGAGAAGAAGGGAAGGAATGATATAGAGATACAGAGAGATTAAAAGGGATTACAATAGATCCTCTGTAACTTGTGGTGTTGCTGAGAAACATATACAATGTATAGGCATATGCTATGTTACTGTTAGTTGTTAGTTGTAGTAAAATGAGGTCACATGTCTTGAGTAGAATTCTGATAGTCACCATATTTATTTAGTAGAATACACCATGTTATAATTCTGTAATCAAATTTAGGATTGCAATAATGTAATCTGCTTGAAATGTCATGTTACAAGGCAAATTTAAGCTACGTTAATGTTCAATTCCTTAGGCCCAGTATCCACATTGAGCCACCCATTTTTCTATCTGTTGGGCCCTATTCAGAATAACATTTGTCTTGCAGCGGCAGTTATTTACTCTGTGGAATGTGCCTTTTTATTTCATATTGTTTTTATGTACAAGTAGTATCACTGATATTTGTCCATGGGCCGTGTGGGGCCCTCCTTTTTTGGTGTGTCTGACGGCCCCTTTACAGCAGAAAATTTGTCATGGTAATTTCCTTAGTCTGTGCAATTAACCGGACCATTCCTAATCGATTTTGAGTCGTACCTAAAGTAGGTCTTTATAATAAACTTTGGTCAATGATACAATAATAGGCCTTTGGCCACATTTTGGGGGCGTCTGGCAGGCCCTAAGAAGCAGAAAATGTGTCTGGTATGCCATCCAGTGCATTGTGGCATTCAACTATTAAGTTACAATTAGACTCAAATGGTTTCTCCTTCATTTGATCATGGCCCATTTGGGGCACACTTTTTCAGTGTGTCTGTAGGCCCATTTGCAAGAGGAAATTTATTGAACATGTTGATTTCCGTAGTCTGTAAGATAAACCCGACCATTAAAAACTGATTTTGAGTGGTACCTTGCATATTTAATCTGGGTTAATGCTACATATACGGGCTTTGGGCCACAATGAGGGGCGTCTGGCGGGCCCTTAGCAGCAGAAAATTTGTCTGGCATGGGCCATTCAGTGCTCTGTGGCATTCATGCATTTAGTAAACACTGGTTTCAAGTGGTACCTCGTTCGTTTGATCAAATGCATTTTTAGGGGGGCCCCTTTTGGGGCGTCTGGCGGGCCCTTAGCAGCAGAAATTTTGTCTGGCATGGGCCATTCAGTGCTCTGTGGCATTCATGCATTTAGTTAACACTGGTTTCAAGTGGTACCTCGTTCGTTTGATCAGAAGCATTTTTGGGCCCCTCTCAACTGGCCCCAGTGGGCACATGCAGCAGAGGGACCCCGGCAGACATCCACATTTGGATATCCTTGGTTTTTCCCCAAATGTTCCAATACTCAGATATTGGTACCTTGTTCGTTTGATCAAAGTGCTCTGGGCTGCCGGGCTATATACATACAGTGAATCTGTCGAATAGTACGTAGAGAGTATTTCCATCACATTGTATGCACACAGTACATAATTATATTCAAATGGTATGTAGAGAGCAAATCCATTGAGTAGTACATACAAAGTAATATATTGAATACTAGAGCATAACTTTACTACAAAGTCTGAAAGAGTAAACCTATCAAATATAGGAGTGTAAATTTACCACAAAGTATATACACAGTGAATATATTGAATAGTATGTAGAAATTAAATCCATCGAATATTAGAGCGCAAATTCATCACAAAGTATAAACAGAGTAATTATATCAAATTTGTGAGCGTAAATTTACCACAAAGCGCTAATATATTGCATATAAGGTAAAGAGTAAATATATCGAATAGTATGTGGTACATAATTACTGTATATGACGGTACTTACGAGTATATAAGCGGAGTATTTATGAGGCTGAAGTTCCAGTTCCGATGATTAGCTAGCAGCTACTTCTCGCTATGATTGCCGATAGTGAAAGAGAATTGATACCAACGGAGTGATTAGCGTAGCATGCGATGGAACGAATGACGCATTATACGTGTAGTTTACTTTTCAATTATTTGGTCACTGCTAGTCCAGAATCTGCACGGTCCTTTATAATTTCCCTACACACTCTTTATTCAAGCCGTCGAAGATGGCGTTATCAACAAACTCATAATTATGCTCACAAGCCGGGCGTCCTAATTTAATGATCACGCCATCATCGGCTGGTAGCAAGTAAGTAGGGAGAGGTAGCGTTGGTGTGGTGGAGATCAAAATTAAATAGGCCAGAATCTGGACTAGGTCACTGCCAGAATTCATTGAACCTCTCTCTATTCTCTTCCTCCACCCATACTCATACACCCTCTCTCTTTCGCTGTCATACGCTGTAACTCCCATTTCCATTTGCAACTTAATTCATTTCATTTTGTTTTAGAAAATATTATCTTATTATCCACTTCATTTCTCTCTCTCATATGCTCCTCTCTCATTTGTGTTCTACCCTCTCTCACTCCCTCTCCCTCGTTCCATATTCCCCCTCTCTCACTCTCACTCTCACTCTCTCTCTCTCTCTCCCTCTCTCCCCCTCTCTCTCTCTAGTCACGAAATATTGGCGTTCGAAAAATAAAATTCGTCGCGTTTTGCACAAAGTGGGACGTCTCCAAATAATCTGTGGATATTTGGGGGTCATTTGTACAAGTGCTCTCTCCAAAATGGCTTAATCCTCTAGATCAAATGGAATGTTTGTATCTTGCTTACAGAATATAATGGCCTATGGGGCTACAGCTCAATTGACCGATGCCCGTGAGATCGAAAATCATATGTGTGCAGACAGGGGCGTCGCTAGACATTTTTCAGTGGGGGTGTAGAGGCCACCGATTACCGACGAATGTCCCAATATCTATGAATTTAACCCTATAAACCCGGGGCCGAAGGCTACATTATTTTTTCCTATGAACTATAGTACTTGCGTATGCGCACTAGGTCATTTTCCTCGACGACATAAAGATACGATGATTTATTCTCGTCTTTTAATCCTTATCTGAATTCAGTTTCCCCCCCCCCCCCCCCTCTTCCCGCGCAAAGCGCGGAAGCTTTGACGTTTCCTTAAATTATTAGAGAAAGAAGACGATTCGTTGTACTGTTCTCGACTTTTAATCCTTGTCTGAATTCAGTTCCCCACCCCCCCCCCTTCCGCGCAAGTTTTGACGGCTTTGATGTTCCATTAAATTATATGGAAAGAAGACGATTCGTTGTACCGTTCAGTTTCGACTAGGCGTTGTGGCATGTGCCTGTAATCCAGCTAACAGTGGAAGTCGCAAAATGATTCAGGCGAGGACGCAGGTTCGAAACTGAGTCACGTCTTTCGGATGGTGACGTTTAAAGGTCGGTCCCCAGACGTAAATAATCATATTTGATTGACACACGTCTGTAAAAACCCATCACACACACACACACACCCATCTCGCGGAAGCTATGACGTTTCATTAAAGTATTAGAGAAAGAAGACGTTCGGTGTAGCGTTCTCGTCTCTATATCTGAATTAAGTTTCCCCCCTCCTGCGCGAAGCGCTGAATTTTTACGTTTCCTTACATTTTCAGAGAGAGTGCCGTTAGTAACTTGAAAGAGCTACCGGTACTTACCTATACCTTTGCATGGTGGCATTTTCACACCGGCGAGGACAAGCCAGAACGGGTGTGAACCACTCGACCCTGCAGTGACTGGTCGGAGGATGTCGGGAGTTCCATATCGTCAATCGACCTCAATGCTGTCACGGTGGCACTATATCAATATTAGTACTCATAACTTAACACAACATAAGAGTAATTGTAATCACCTCATTCTTTTATAGTCCATTTTTATTGCCATACATAGTTGTAACCACTGCCTTGTGATCAGAGGTGGTAATCCCGGGGGGCGGGGGGACACGTCCCCCCCCCCTCGATTTTTTTTTAGAGGGGGGATCGTCCCCCCTCAAAATTCGAAAAAGTGCAACAACAAAAATGTACAGCAAATACTGACTAAAGACTACAACACACGTTTAGGCTTTGGAAGGCTTAAGAGTGTAGCGTTAAGACAAATAAAATGCAAAAATCTTCTTACTCGGTGGCTACGCTCCCTTTTATAATATCTTTCAAAAGGTACAGGAATACCGAGAAAAGTGAAGTGTGAAAAAAGTATATTGCTTGTTTTTATACTTTAGTTTTGCTAAGGACTGTAATTTTTTAATACAACAAAACTTCAAAAACCTGTGAAGGGGTTGTCAATTCCGTCAACTTCACCCCTCACATTCACTATTGCTCCCTCGATCGAACCTTCATACTGATGGGGGCTTTAGGGGCAGTCCTTCTCCCCCCCCCCCCAAAAAAAAAAAACAACAACAAAAAATGAACTTCAATCGTGGTTTATTTCAAATTCGATACTAGTGATTTACAAATGTTGCTGAAATGGCATGATTTTTCCCCTGAGCTTTTTGGCGCGCCCCCTGGATCTCGCTCCAATTAGTGACCTGCATGCCAGTGTCACAAATAAGGTATCAAAATATGCTCACCTGACCGTAAATAAATGCCTAAAACCCCTGAGCTTCATGGGGCTCCGCCGGGGCTTTGCCACTGGACCCCACGTCAATTTACACTCCACTTTGCTTTGCTTTGCGCTACCTGAGCGTAAATACTTTAGCCCCCCCCCCTCCACTTCGAAAAACGTTCCCAGTGCCTGCATAGCATGTAAGAGTGGTGGTGATGCGGATTTTTTTTTTCTGCCCCCCCCCCCAAAAAAAAAAAACGAGTTTTTTTCTCATTACGCCACTGATCCCTCGTCCCTCACATTTCGTCCGCCCCTGCTTGTGGTTCAGGTTATCTTTCGGATCTAAGGCTAAGGGAGCAAACCCTTATACATCTAACCGTCTTCAAACTTCTGCATTAATATAGTACAAGAGGATCGAGCAAGAATACCGACACTGCAGCAACATAATCTATGCGTATCTTTCTTGCTCCCTCGACCAGACGACTCCATCCAACAACCCCCTCTCTTTTACTGCCACCCTCCTCTCTCAGGCTCTTACCCCTTTCTCTCCTCTCTTTCATCCCCCGGGGCGTCGCTAGACATTTTTCAGTGGGGGTGTAGAGGCCACCGATTACCGACGAATGTCCCAATATCTATGAATTTAACCCTATAAACCCGGGCCGAAGGCTACATTATTTTTTCCTATGAACTATAGTACTTGCGTATGCGCACAAGGTCATTTTCCTCGACGACATAAAGATACGATGATTTATTCTCGTCTTTTAATCCTTATCTGAATTCAGTTTCCCCCGCCCCCCCCCCTCTTCCCGCGCAAAGCGCGGAAGCTTTGACGTTTCCTTAAATTATTAGAGAAAGAAGACGATTCGTTGTACTGTTCTCGACTTTTAATCCTTGTCTGAATTCAGTTCCCCCAACCCCCCCCCCTTCCGCGCAAGTTTTGACGGCTTTGATGTTCCATTAAATTATATGGAAAGAAGACGATTCGTTGTACCGTTCAGTTTCGACTAGGCGTTGTGGCATGTGCCTGTAATCCAGCTAACAGTGGAAGTCGCAAAATGATTCAGGCGAGGACGCAGGTTCGAAACTGAGTCACGTCTTTCGGATGGTGACGTTTAAAGGTCGGTCCCCAGACGTAAATAATCATATTTGATTGACACACGTCTGTAAAAACCCATCACACACACACACACACCCATCTCGCGGAAGCTATGACGTTTCATTAAAGTATTAGAGAAAGAAGACGTTCGGTGTAGCGTTCTCGTCTCTATATCTGAATTAAGTTTCCCCCCTCCTGCGCGAAGCGCTGAATTTTTACGTTTCCTTACATTTTCAGAGAGAGTGCCGTTAGTAACTTGAAAGAGCTACCGGTACTTACCTATACCTTTGCATGGTGGCATTTTCACACCGGCGAGGACAAGCCAGAACGGGTGTGAACCACTAGACCCTGCAGTGACTGGTCGGAGGATGTCGGGAGTTCCATATCGTCAATCGACCTCAATGCTGTCACGGTGGCACTATATCAATATTAGTACTCATAACTTAACACAACATAAGAGTAATTGTAATCACCTCATTCTTTTATAGTCCATTTTTATTGCCATACATAGTTGTAACCACTGCCTTGTGATCAGAGGTGGTAATCCCGGGGGGCGGGGGGACACGTCCCCCCCCCTCGATTTTTTTTTAGAGGGGGGATCGTCCCCCCTCAAAATTCGAAAAAGTGCAACAACAAAAATGTACAGCAAATACTGACTAAAGACTACAACACACTTTAGGCTTTGGAAGGCTTAAGAGTGTAGCGTTAAGACAAATAAAATGCAAAAATCTTCTTACTCGGTGGCTACGCTCCCTTTTATAATATCTTTCAAAAGGTACAGGAATACCGAGAAAAGTGAAGTGTGAAAAAAGTATATTGCTTGTTTTTATACTTTAGTTTTGCTAAGGACTGTAATTTTTTAATACAACAAAACTTCAAAAACCTGTGAAGGGGTTGTCAATTCCGTCAACTTCACCCCTCACATTCACTATTGCTCCCTCGATCGAACCTTCATACTGATGGGGGCTTTAGGGGCAGTCCTTCTCCCCCCCCCCCCAAAAAAAAAAACAACAAAAATGAACTTCAATCGTGGTTTATTTCAAATTCGATACTAGTGATTTACAAATGTTGTTGAAATGGCATGATTTTTCCCCTGAGCTTTTTGGCGCGCCCCCTGGATCTCGCTCCAATTAGTGACCTGCATGCCAGTGTCACAAATAAGGTATCAAAATATGCTCACCTGACCGTAAATAAATGCCTAAAACCCCTGAGCTTCATGGGGCTCCGCCGGGGCTTTGCCACTGGACCCCACGTCAATTTACACTCCACTTTGCTTTGCTTTGCGCTACCTGAGCGTAAATACTTTAGCCCCCCCCCCTCCACTTCGAAAAACGTTCCCAGTGCCTGCATAGCATGTAAGAGTGGTGGTGATGCGGATTTTTTTTTTCTGCCCCCCCCCCCCAAAAAAAAAAAAACGAGTTTTTTTCTCATTACGCCACTGATCCCTCGTCCCTCACATTTCGTCC